CAATGAACCACTTCGTCGTCGGTGTCACACTCGCAGTTATCCAAACAGTCGAATACGTACCCTATAAAAGTCACTGATTGATAGAGGCCAGAGATAAAATAACTTCCAGCAAAGATGAAATGGATATCGAATGAAAAATGGGTCAAGGAGTATTGAACTCTTCACATATCCCACTAACAGGACCGTGTTTACCACAAACAAAACTGCACTATTGACCTTGACTGCCCTTTCATTGCTCTATACTTCGAAAACATTTCCCCACCCCAACACTTCCCCGCAGTTACATTTGACTGAAACCTTGCTTCCAGAGATAGTTTGACCCTTTGAATATGTACTAATGTCGGGTGCGTTTGGCTTGGTGATGGCACCAGTTGGTACTTAGCGAAGCCTGTACAGGCCACCTTGTGAAGACCTTACTGTACCTAAAGTGGCTCATACGCATGACCATTCAGCATTCACAATAGTTTACAAGTCACTTTGATGCTAGTTAACAAGAACCATGACGAAAGTGCAAGCTACCCCTCCCCCCCCCGGCACCCGTTCTTCAAGCCGTTCACCACCTTAATATCACATGTGCTCGAAGCCGAGAGGCCCATGCCACAGACGATGGTGACGCAGATGGCGTGGTTCTACAGCGTAAAAACCAGGTGATTTTTAGCCATTCACAGGGCGATTCAGGGGAATGCATGCAATGGGGCCAGAGACAAAATTCTAGCCAATTGTGCTACCTAGAAATATTTTGCGGCATGAATTCCGGAAAGTGTGAGCAGTAAATGTAATAAGTGCCAGCAAAACAAGTACTTCTTTGGACGAAGATAGATGAGAGTTAAGGAGTGGTAATAAGGGGGGGGGGAACCCCATTCCCGTGACAGGAACATAAAACGTTTTCGCAATAACCCGATGCTATCGGTAGGTTTCAAAGGCCCAAACAGGAGACGAACTTTTAGCCCAATTCTCGCTCGAAAGCTGTTGCTGATGGATGTTCACTTTAAATGTCAAATAATCAATTGAGGTAAATGGGGCACAGTTCGGCCTGGTGGGGCATTTTACCAGTTCATCAATCACTGCCAATGCCTCCTATGGAGGTCCTGTAAATTGCTGTGAAGCTATACAAGAGCAAGAGCTTCGTTCCTCGTACTTTTTACAAGAATCTACAGGTCTCAACACCAGAGTGATTGTAATCAAAAGGAGATCAGCGAAAGTGCAAAACGCCCCTCCCAAGCTCAGCAGCCGCCGCAGATGGGCCCTGTGCATCCCACCTGGTTAGGTTAAACGTTCAAGCATGAAACTCCTCGAGATTTCCACTGAACACCGGAAAGTTGAAATGTATTTCAAGATTGAGACCTGAGAAAGTTAACTAATAACCTCAGTTTACCCTATTTGCTCCCTAAATTACGACGACAGCTTTGAGATATGACTTTATAAACTGCTAATGAAATGGACTTCACGATCCCAATACTTACCAAAAGCACATGGTACTAATAAAAGCAGTAGCGAGTAATGCATGAGGCTGACGGCTGGTGGTATGACGCCCAGAGGAAGTCGAAGCTAATGTTGTGGCGTTTCTCTTTTATATTGACACTGACAACTGTTAAACGAGAGACGTCTGGATGAAGTCCAATGCGAAAAATCGCTGCTGTGAACCCTCACAAGCTCGACTGATCGCGAAGAGACGCAGGGTGAACCGCCATCATTGCCACCGAACAGGTGCCACATGTTCAGGTCCCTTATGACTCATCGTGACAAAAGGGCCATCAGCAGCTCTCTGACTCATCCATGAACTCAAACGAATGTTTGAGGCTATATTCAAGTGGGAATATTCATGGATTACGCCATGCATTTTACTTCCGCTTAGGGATGGAACGGCTTGGTCCGGACTCGAAGATCTGCTCCCACTGCTAGCGGAAAGAAATGAAGACGTATTTACTCTGTGAACCTTTGCCCTCTGATGCTTGAGCTATGGTGGTTGCAGCTTGGCCCTTAGGGGTGTAAAAAAGCAAAGGCTGACTCTTGTCAACACTCATTAGTCACTATATCACTACCTATCGCCGATCATCAATGCCCCCATCCAAAAAATACACTTCGCATCCCAAAGATAGAAGCGGCGTGGCCGCGCATGTCATTTGAACCTGGCCTGTGGTGGATTTTTCGCTGGGTGTTCCCATTGGGGACAGATGTCATTCTGTCGTGCATTGGACATAGACACAGGCATAGCTATTCCAAAATGTCAACTTTCTACCAGGAGCGGAGCAAATAGCACATCCAAGAGCGTCCAGCCACGCCCATTTGATCTCTGCGATATGGAAAGTTCATTACTTGCTAGGGCTTCTGATACCCCTTACTATCTCTTAACAAATGTTATCTTTTCCTATCACCGCCCAATAGTGTTGCCATCCTGCCTCCTATATCTGTTGCTGGAGCCAACGTCCCACTGCTATTGTGGGGCGCCTTATAAGATTAGTGACGCTACCCTCTAGCACCCCAATCAGCTCTTAGTTATCGATTCCCATCTCCTACCAGTGATGTTCCTGTCCTACCAGCTATATCCCTTGCTAGTTATAAAATTGATTCACCTCCCAAATAACAAGGTTG